CGTTTGTTATATATCCTTGACCTGTTCATTATCGTGAGAGGAAAGAATTCTTCGCTTTATATATCAACTCCGATATGTTGATATATATAAAGAATACGGATTGTAAAATGTTTAATATTTTTTAACAAATATGATATTCCTAACATTTGTTTATACATCGCATTATACCTAATAAATTAAGAAGATGAAAGAAATAACATAAAGAAAAATTGCCAAAAAATCATACTTGAGATATTTTGTTACATTTTTCTTTTGATATTAATTTATACGCAAGTTAATATTGGATATTGTAGTTTGACATTTGAAGATATCTATTACATTTGATTTTTTGTCAGAAACAAATTAATTTATTGTAACCTCTTTTTATGATATGGTATAAAGGATATGGTTAAGTTTCTTGATTTTTAAAAACATAGCTCCTTTAAAAATAAATTTGAGTTAAATAAAAAAATACAGTTGAGGAGGATGATTAGGCGGCAATTTTCCTCTATGTGCATAAAAAGATTTAATCGGTATCTTTCTATATGCCACTTATATCCAATACGTATCTATACATAAAATGTACATAACATTTAAAATGTACATAAATTAAAATGATTTAGTACTCAAATATAAACAAAGAACTAATATCTCAGATGCTAAACTTTAAAAGAATGCATGAATAAATCATCCATTTGCGACAGAAAACGGATGATTTATTCATTCACTCTTTTAAAGTTTAGCAGCTGAAATATGAGTTCTTTGGCCGAAACCTCTCTAATTCTTGAATATTCAGATTCTTATTTTAAGAATTGACGTTACCTCTTACGTAACTTTCTAATGCTCGTGAAGGTCATTACGGTCACTACTTAACAGATCTATTTGTTTATAATTATCAGCTATTAACGGGTCTTCTCACGTGTCTTCCGTTTCCGCGATATAGAAATTAGCAAGATTTTCAAAAGTGGACTACTTTCAAAGTATCAAGATTTTAATTTACACCAGTAACAAAAGATTTATGACATCACTTACCTTAACTTGCTTGACTGCTTCCTCCGGTGGCAAATTTACCACACTGTTCATTTGGGTATCTACCCAGGCCTTCACCGCGGCGCTAGAATCTCTGTATTGCTGCCAGAGTCTGCACGCGTGTTGATATCGGGTGCAAAGGGCATCCAATTCGGCCCTTGTGTCCTCCCAAGCCTGTACGGCCTCATTTACTGCGGCGTCGACCCTCTCGCGGACCTCTGCGGCGCAACTCTCCCGCAGAGGCTCGGCAGCGGCACGTAATTCGCCAATGAGAACTTCTCGAGCACCCAAATCGCCGTTCAAACCCTGCCGGTTTTTCAAGAAAAAAATCGGAAAAAATATAATATATTGAAATATATATATATATATATATTGTAGTACATTTAATATTTGTATATATGAACATTTTGCAAATATTAGAAATCAAACAGTTGTTTCTTTAATTAAATAAATTTGAGTTTTGATACAAAAAATAGAGCATTAATAAAATTGAAAGATAAGTACATATTTATGAAAATTATTATTTGTACACTCATTTTTTAAATTAATATTCTAGTATTGAATATTTTTTAAGAATTATTAAAGACATTTAAAATCCTCATTCACAGAAAAGATGGTAACAATAATTTGTTAAATATATTTTTCCATTAATCACTGATTTTTTTAAGGATACGCTATATACAACAAAAAAAGAGATTCAACTTGTTTTTCCACAGATTGAAACCTCATAGTGTTCTTGTCTATTTTTATCCAACGTGGCTATATTATATTTCAATTTTAAGAATTTTGCTTATATGGGCGACTTTGCGTCAGACAATTCAAAGAAAGCACCGGTTTTGCTTAAAACACGCTATAAATAAATTCACGGCACGAGACTAGCACATTTGGAGACTTACATGAATTCGGTCAGAACATGGTTGAACTAATTTTATGTCGTGTACTCTAGTTCGTTCACCTCGTGAATTTTCCAAGAAAAGACACACGCAAGTGCATTATCTTATTATCGAGAGAGAATATTAATTTTTATCAAATACCAAAATCTACACTATCACGTGAAGAAAGATACTTAAAAAATTTTCTTAAAAAAAATTATTCAATCATTACAAGTAGTTTATGTGAGGAATTTACGACTGATACTTTACTGTTTTATTTGTCTTTATGCACTGGCTACGTTTACACCGTGTGCTTAGTCCGCGACCTATACGATAGGTGTCTTTGTTTAATATACAGGAACATTGTATGTCAAAATATATTAATATTAATTATCGATCAATCGATGTTAAAGAACATTTTGACGTTCAGAAATTCTGGCGAGTCGCGAAGATAAATCGATAGACAGTATACTGGAAGAGGAAATCGTAAATATATGTTCGGGCGGCCACGGCGCTCCTGTAGACGTACGCTTCTCCACGTGCCATAGTTTACATACCGCGTTATCGTGTGTATAACGTTAATGATTATAATCATTTATATCATCTTTTGTAATTGTTTTTAAAGTGGTGAGTGCCAGTCATCATTGATATGTAGTGCACGTTATATCTATTGTGTTGCGAGACAGAATTTTCAAATACATGTCATCTAAGGCCCAGTTTCACAACTCACGGTTAACTCTTAATCGAGGTTCAATTTATTTCTCATTTTTTTCCAATTCTAGAATTGAAAAGAGATAATGAATAGGTTAAACATCGATTAAGAGTTAACCGTGAGTTGTGAAACTAGGCCTAAGACGATATATTTATTGTGTGTGGTTTCAAAATTCTAGAGATCATTCGTGAATCTTGTAAAAAATAATATTTGACTTTTTTATATTGTTAGTCAATTGAAATTGATTGTATTTTACAAACAAAAAACACCTCACATTTGCAACTATTACTGTTTCGCCAATTATAATGCACTTCATTGTATATACATAGTTTATTGATTTATTCTTCGCTCAAAATGAATCGCGTAAATTCTACTGCCTAAAATTACTTATTTCGATCGATTTCTATCGTGTTTAATATTGCGTTTATGTTACGCGTGTAATTGTACGATTGATCGTAGACGTATCATTATAGATGTGTAATTTCATGTGATTATATACGAAGAAATCGTGATAATAACCGTACTGTACATTCTTATTTAATATAATCACGTTTATATATCTCGATCAACCGAACGAGAAATCGCGAGTTACATTCTTTGCTTTACATACACTATCTCGTTACAGACGACCTGTTGCTTGTAACGACTTCACGCCTGGCATAATATATGTTGATTTAATACTCATCGATGGATAACGGTGTGTACATAGACTTGCTTCTTATGTCTCGCCGCGATGCGTAACGGTCTCGTTTGCAGAAAAGAAGAAGAGAGACACGATGATCTGGCGGAAATAAATCCTTACGAAATCATTTTCTCATATACGCATTCACATTCGTGGAGAGTAAATCGATCGCCCCCGGAAAGAAATATTAATGACGATCTTGAGCGTCGAGAAATCAAGAACTTTTTCCGAGCTTTTTTTTATTGAAGCCGTATATCACACGCACTGATCGGTTCTCGTATTTATAATAAGGTCGACTGCGAATGTTGCAAAGAGTCATACAAAAGAATCAGTTCACGCGACTACAAAATGATTAAGGCTCGGTTCCACCAATGTAATATTAACTTTTATTTTTGTTTAATTTACTCTTTATTTTTTTCTAATTTTAAGAATTAGAAAGAAAATAAACATTAATTCTATGAATTAGAAAAAGATAAATAGTAAGATAAACCAAAATTGAAGTTAATCTTACATTGATAAATGTACAATACAAGGTAATAATTCTTAAGGAAAGCCACATATGCCGTAGCAATAAATGATTTTTTAAATGTAAACTTCCGTAGAATAATTAATCGTTTCGTTTTTTTTTAATCGACACGTGCAACGCGCTGGAGTCCAAAGGATAGCGACGTTATGTCGGTCCCGCACAAATGTACATCCGGTTTCCTTTTGCAGATAACGCATGAATGCGCTTATTTCATGCCGAGCGCTTAAAGCATGCGGAGCGTTTAAAAAAAAAACCTCATCATTCGGTCTATCAAGCATGCGAGTCGCAGTGGTGTCCGCTACACCACTTTCGATTTCGTTTTAGATAGAAATGTATTTAATTTCAACGAATTTATCAACGTTTATGTTTGCGATGATTGTCATTGAAAACTTACTAAGTCGTCACTAAAAAGTGATGTGTTTAACTTCAATTTCTAACGTCACAAACAACTTTCTGTTAAAACGTGAAACTCCGGAAATTCTGTTCCAAATATTCTTCGTGCAATCCGGAACGACTCGGCACGTGACACGCGGAGCGGAAACGCGACCGCACCATTCAGGAAAGCACTCACCGTCCACGAGCGGGGCGATGTTACCTTGAAGCTATTTATTGTGCTTCGTCTTCGTCGTGGAATTCCAGCGTCGGAGAGTCGCGCCGGTTCGTAAAGAACTGCCTCGTTCGATTCGCGTTTATCTCTCGGCCACGACCGAGCGATAATACAGGTCGAAACGCAATGAAGTATTTCGAAAGATATCAATGAGTTGGCGGATATTCTCGGCAGCGACGTAAACGTGACCACGGATCCCGCGGCACTGATAGGCACCGCGGCAGCGTACGATAACGCGACTTTAAGCCGTGAAAATAAGCGAGAGCGGGAACGCGACGCCTGCGCGCGTTGAGAAACACGACGTTCTTGTAACACGTGTGTACAATTTGAATCACTGATAAGATCGGCTTGTATTTATAATCGGATTTATTCGATGATGTCACAGTATTGCTACGGTAAAAAAGTTTTAACTAATCATTTGTAAGCTACAAGGAAAGTTAGTTGAAAGTTTCGAGATTACGATCTATTTAAATTTTCTTGTCCAACTTAAACATGCATTTTCCTAATTAGTATCCATTCGCTCGTGGCGAATAATAAATGACATTAATGAACTCGTTGATATTCCGTAAAATCATTATAAGTCACTGATGATTTCATTGCTCAATATTATTACCATGAGTAAACTGCACTGCTCTACTTTTGCGCAAACTGATATAAACGTAAAGAAAAAAATAACTCACCTCGAGGCGCTCCGTGGCCTTCAACAATCTGTCGTAATCAACGGAGTCTTGGACGGTTAACAGTTCCATCATATAATCCGCTTCTTGAACGGATTGTTGCACCATTTCCAGCTGCCTCTCGAATCGTCGCCATAACTCCAGTCTATTCGTCAGCAACGATAGCAGATGCGCGCATCTGGATTCAAGTTCGGTGTGTACATCCTGTATATTAGACAAGTCTCTTTCTATGCCCACTGGCGACACCGTCACTCTCATGCCGGTTGGTAAATTATGCAGCATCTGTCTTAATGCCATTAGATCTTGCCAGAGGACAGCTAATTCGTTGGCGACAGATTGACAACGATTTACAGCTGCCGCTACCAGGTCGCTTTCTTGTCTTTCGCTACCTTCGCATTGATCCAATATCATCGATAATCTTTTGTGAGCCTTTCTAAAGCGACTTAATCCACGTTGTAGAGTCTGAATCTTTTCTCTGAGTAGCTGTGCCGAATCTAGTTCTTCGCTTATCTGTCCTTCTATGCAACGCGCCGATGATAATAAGATTCCGACTCTTTCACTCTCCGCCGCTGGTAAAAGACCTAATCTACCTATCTCGTTCTGGATCAAAGAGATTCTTTCGAATAATATAGTGAGTCTCTCGACGTATAAGTCTAATTCTTCCTCTGTCTTCAGCACTCCATGGAAACTATTGATGGTCATTCGTAATTCATTTAATTCCTTCTCGAGTAATTTTAGTTTCTCGTTCGACGAGATCTCGTCCGAGGAAATGCTGCGAGTGACATCTTGTTGAATTTCGTTGATCTTATCACTAATCTCATTCCAACGACCCTGCAACTCGTAGTGAAACTGTCGCTGCAACATTTCGTCCGACAGAGGTATAATTCGTAGAGCTTGCTCGAAGTAATTGTCCGCTTCGTTACGCGTATTATTGTGAACCTCAAATTGTGCTTTTAATTCCTGCAAGCGTAAAAAGATCGCTACAGAATTTAAGATGTTTAATCACTTGTGTAGTTATATCGGAAATTATAGTCGTATAGAAGCAAAATATCGTACACAGTTCTTTCTTGCAATATGCATTCAAATGAATTGTAGAATCCGGAATACATTAATTGCAGACTAAAATTTTTGTTATAAAAAAGTGAATGACGCAGCGATGACGATGACGATAAAAATGAAGCTGACGTTACGTAATACATAACACTTTCGTTCTCCAATTTTAATCGTACTAAAAATACGGCTCGCGTGAAAGAGAGAACATGTGCTTTCGATGGCACAAGGTCAAATGTGTTGGAAAAATGTGACCTAAATGCATGTACAAATACAGCTCACCGCTAAATATTTCTACTGAATTACTAACAAGTTATAAATGTATTTAACCAGAATCTAGACATAGATCGAAAGAACGCTCACCCAGAATTGACGCATAGAACTTCCTGATGGATCGTGTAATGTAGCAAGTTCCTTCTCGGCCATTGTTATCCAATGTTCTACGCGATTCGTTAGTATCTCTTGATTGTTCCAACTCTCTCTAAAAGCTAATAGTCTTTTTAGAGAGGATTCGATATTGTCTTGCAGCTTGACGATCACGTCTAGAGCTTCACCATATCGATCTTCAGGATCCTCGATGTTGATAAGATCACGAAGGCTACGTGCCACACCGAGTAAGTGAATTAATCGTGCATGATGAGTTGCTACATCCGATGATAGAGACTGAAATGTGATAAATTAATTATTAAAATTAAATACAGGATGTTCATACATCACAAATTCGTTAGTATAATTTGTAAGCCTTAATATAATAGTATTAATATAATTACTAACTTGATATAAAGAGATGTATTGATCATAGTCGGTCGAAGTCACCGTTTGAAGATCAGGAACTCGTTGATGTGCAACCTGGAGCCATCCTCTTTCTTCTTTTACACCCTGCTCGAGTAGCATCCATCGCGACGCCGCCAAAGCCATTTGTTGCGCTCTTGAAGCTGCCTGGTCGAGCAGCGCCGTTGCTTTACTATGTAGTTCTTCGTGCAAACCGGAGTGTTTGGCTCTGGTTTCAGGATCTAGATTGCCTTCCAACGATTCGAGAATCGCGCGACAGTGGTTTAGATTGACAAAAAATTTTCTGTGCTTCTGCATCTCCTCCTGGAGATGTTCCAGGCTTAGTGCGGATATTGGACTGTCCAGCAAATTTTCAGCGATTTCGATAATTTGCGCAAATTCTTGAAGAGTTTGCTCATATTCTTCGGCTAAAGCGAGCAATTGGAGAAGACGTTCTCGTTCGATACATATACTATGTTCGATGATCTTTGTCATCTCATGCGCTGCGTAAATTTCTTCGGGTATAATCTTGCCGGGATGATCGCTCAGTAATTCTCGAGTAGCATCGAGAAGACTACTTGTCTTCCACATATGACAGCGATTGGTATTGTCTAATTTATCGAGTTCCTGTAATTTCCATTGTGTGGAATACTCGCTTTCGATTATGTGATTGAGCTGTTTACGTTGTTCTTCGACTAATCTGTAACAAGAATTAATCATAGAAAAAAAGGAAAGGATTAAACTAAAATTACATTTATTCTTTATCACTTCTACTTTTATTTCTAGTCTCAGTGAAATATATTAAAAGATACGCTACAAAAATTTATTAAACAATTTATCAATATTTTTATGTAGTATCTTACCTATATACGTTATTAATGCTATTTAGAAATTCATCCCATCTTGCGAGTTGCCTATTAGCGTGTCTTTCTCCGTCAGTAGTAACATGCTCGATAATTTTCACCTGATGCTCAAGGGCATCTACACATTCTCGTAATTTCTCCCGTTCCTCTTTCGGATAGTTTTGCTCTAATTGCTTCCAGATATTATCGAGCTCACGGACACTTTCTTCTACATTATTCACCTCATCTTTCAATTCAATGAACGTTCTAGCGTCCTCGTGAGAAGGTCCAGTCGGACATTCTTTGTTTAGAAAGATTCGATATTCAATGGTTTCTAGCCAAGTTGAGATTGTTTCGACGACGGTAACGAGAGTTTCTTCGACAACTATGACATCGTTCTCTTGAACAGCATTTTTTAATTGCGCCAATTCTCTGCGAACATCCGACGAGCGTTCTTCCGCGAGTCTTTCTGTGGTGACTTCTTCTAGATGCGCGATATGCAAGATGTTACCTAAATGACTCGATTCGTTGGTATTCTGTAGATTCTTTACTCGGTCAGTTATTATTTTAGCTGCTTGCATCGTTTGCGTTCCCTGATGTTGCGGTTTAGCGCTATATCCCAAAGATTCCTTTAAAAGAAAAACCGCGGATAATGCTTGAGGAGACGATTCTTGGATAACAGGTTCTTTCCACAATTGCGGTTCTCTTTTTTCATATATTTCTGCTGGTGTTTCAGATATTACTTGGGCGTACGTCTGGATTTCCGTTCGCAATGATTTAATATTTTCTTTATTCAAAATAGGTTGCTCGATTTCTATGGGTGTCAATGGCTCTTCAGTTGTATCCATTGGCTCGGGCGACAACTGCATAGATGTGAACGATTTTTGCTGATCCGACAACATTAACAATGGTTCTACCATCGGTCTGTTAAGTGCAAATGTTTTTCGCACTGTTGCTACTTCAGGTACTATTGTTTCTGGAATGTATTTCGAGTCGATTACAGATGGATCACTCATCGATATAGGTACTATTTCCGAGGTAGTTGAAATATCTAAGGATGTATCCTTACCTTCTTCACGTCGATTCATTTTTTCTATCATAGTTTTTAATGCAGTGTCTTTCAATTTCACATCTGATTCGATCTGAGATGTTATCTGAGAAGGATATTCGGATGCCACTTCCTCCAATATATCATCATTTCCAATCAGAGATTGCTTGCTGATATGCTGTTTGGCAACATCGCAGTAAGACGGTTTCGCGACAGTATCTTGAGGTTCCATGGATTGTCTAAATGCGGATTCAAGCTCTGACTTGTCCTTGCTCGGTACAGTGATTTCCATAGTTTTATGCTTTCTCTTTCTTTTTTGCCGTTTTGATACCTTATTATCGTGCTCTGCGATTATGTCGTTACTGAGATCTTCGGCAATCGTAGTATCTTGCGAAGTATCGGTCGTTTCCTTGCTAACAGATGCAACACTATCGAGCGTGTCACTGGCGGATAGTTCTATAGTTGCGTGAACGTGGATTTCAAACGACGTATCCGAAGTATTATCCTTTTCTGACATAGAAGATGGCGTAGATTCTTTTGTTTGTATAATAGTCTCCGTTGGTTTTGGACGTTCTACCATCATAGATACTTCAGAAAATTCATGTTTTGTTTCTTTTTCGATGGGAGCTTTCATCTGTACGATATTTTCTGAGACCGTTGTAGGAATCTCTGATATCAGCTTATTTATAATTTCTACTGCTTTTACTTCCTCTATGGATTTCACAATTTCTGGTACTTGTACATCAGGTGCTGCTGGAGTTTTTTCTAAATCTATTTTTTCTTTCTTCGTCTCTTCTAAGGTGATTGGAACGGGCACTTTGCTCAGGTCTTCTGTTTCAACTATTTCCGTCTTAAAATCTTCCGTAGATACTTCAACAGTATGAGTGGGAATATGTGTTGTCTGTTGAGATACCGAGATTGTCTCAATTGGTTGTTTCTCTTCTTTTGGTGATGTTTGTGCACTGATCTCACATACTTCGGGAATATTTTGTATACTTTCATCAATTTGTGGTATCAATTCTTCTACCTTTATTTGTACCGAACTATCAGAAGTTTCAATTTTCTTTGGACTGATTTCTGATGTCTGTGATTCTTCCTCTGTAGTCTGTTTCATATCTTCAATGCTAGTTTGAGCAGATTCTTCACACACTTGTATAGGTTCCGGACTAACTATAGTTGGACTTGTTTGCATCATAGTCTCTTTGGTTTGCTCAGGCGATTTTGTTTGCATTTCAGATTCCTGCAACTCCACTTTTCGAGGACTCTCTTCAGGTGTCGTTTGTGTCTCCGTTGTTTCGGCAAGAACTTCTGGCTCTGCGATTGTTTGAGTATCTATATGCGAAACATCTGGTTGTTCCGGACTAGTCGGGGCACTCGTTTGCATATCTCTTTCGAAAGATTCTGGCACTTCAGACAACGTTTGAGTAGAAATTTCTTGCACAATAATTTGCTCTGCCACTAGTGGCGGAGTAGTCTGTTGCTCGACTTCTGTTACCGTATTTATTGCTGTTTGAGTTTCAGTTGCTATCATTGGAGATAATTCAACAGGTGAAGTTTGCATTTCCATGGAGTGAACATCAATTTCAGTCGTCTGTGCTTGAGAATCTTCCGTTTCCACTGCGGCAGGAATGATATCTTCTATTGGACTAGTTTGAATAGCGAACTCTTCCGTTGGCGTCGCTGTGGGTGTCATAGTTTGTACACCTGAATCTTCGACTTCCGGTGTTTCTTCCGCGATAGTTTGCGCGCTGAAATCAAGTCCAGGTTCTAAAAATGTTTGCGTCTCCATATGAGTCTCGTCAGTTTTAGCCGTTTGCATTTCTTTCTCCAAAGTGATCGGTACCGGCTCAGGGGAAGTTTGCATGAACGTAGAGAGACTTTTCTCTTCTTTTGGAGTAAGCGAAGTCGATACATCACACGTTTCTATAGCTGTTTGAGTATTCGCGTCATCTAACGTAGTTTTGCACTTACTTTCTTGTTGTATTGTTTCGACTTTAGTTTTTTTCACCTCATCTTCTGGCTTCGTTGTATCGTCTTTCATTTTCTCCTCTTCTATAATTCGACTATCTTCTTCTATCGTGATGTCCTCTTTTGTTTTATCTTTTGCGGTCATTTCTTTTACTTCAGAAATTTCTAAAGGAAGACTATTGTCTGTGAACGCCGCATCGTCGCTACTAGTCTTGGGCATGTAAGTCAAATCTTCATCTCGAAGCAGTCGAACCTTTTGCTTCTTCTTCTTTTTTCTTTTCTTCTTTATGCCATCTTCATTTTCCGGCGCGATCGACAATTCATCCATAGTTTTATCGTCCGGTTGATATCCATCGTTCTCTGCCATAATGCTGTCGTCTAAGCTTAGAGAGGATTCGGACTTGATAATATCTGCGACATCCGGTTGCGGTTGCTCACTAGCATGTTTGGACGAATTAGATGATGGAATATTGATCTCCATAGATTCGGCAATTGATGTAGCAATGGAAGTGCTAGAGTCTGTTTCTGCTGGCTTTTCCGAAGATTCTGATTTATCCTTGTGCCGTTTCTTTTTTCTACTTTTATGACTTGTAGTATCCGATTTACTCTTTTCTGGCGATTCGATGTAAACATCGACTTCTTTTTCTGCAGTACTTAATTGTAAAGTTTCCGTTTCTTTTTCAGCAGTGAGAAAGGCGGTGGTCTGCACAATTTTATCGTGTATCACTTTTGTCGTTTCCTTGTCCGCTGGAAGATTAATATCTACATCTTCTTTAACGATGCTATACGGGGCAATTTCGGGCCGCTCTGCCTGAGTTTTGATAGAAACTGATGGTTCCACTTCCTCATCTTCTTTACGCACCGACAGAGATATTTCAACCTTGTGAAATATTGGTTTGTATTCTGGTTTGAATGCTTCATCCCTAGAATTGTCTTTTCCCTCACTTATGAACAATTCTGGTGATATTTTTCGTTCTTTGGAAGATGTTCCCGCATCTTTCAATTTTAAAGTAGTTTTTTCCGCGTTTTTGTCAGGTTCAGAAATATCTAACTTACTTGTTAAAGCAATCGATCCGTTTCCTAGCTCCAATTTTTGAAGTGATGTTAAGGTTGTAACTTCTTTAGATGATTCAAGCGAGACCTCTCTTTTCGATTCTTCTTTCTCATCATACTCTTTCTCTAATACAATGACATTCGATACATCGATATTTTTATCTGCTTCTACAGTGCTGCTATCACCATGGTGCGTCTCTACTTCTACCGTGCCATTTTCTAGCTCGATACTGAGTGTTTCGTTCTTTACTGGTGCATCGTCAGACTTACAAGTAGCCTTGGTGACCACTGGTTCATCATCTGTTACGGCCGGCTCTAATGGAGATTTTACAGATTCCGATTGTACCATTGCAACATCTTCAACAGGAGTCTGCAAAACGGCAGATTGTTCAGCATCGATTAGTGCTTGATTATCGATCGCAAGTGTACTTGTGCCATTTACCTCAGTAGGAAAGTGCTTGTATTCTTGTTTGTCCATTTGCGATTTAATTTCTGTTCGTGCTACATTTTCGTCACTTTGTACAGTAGAAATACCTTCATCAGCTTGAATGCTAGCCAAATTTTCTTCTTGTGTTACATGCTCTTTCAAAGGAGAGAGCACTGCAGTTTGTGTAGAATCCGTTAATTTTATCTTAGAATCAGCTGTATCTGTTGTAGAATCTGCTATCTTTATCGTGGGTTCTTCTAACAACGTAGTTTCCTTTTTGCGATTTTCAGTATCCAATGTTTTAGTTTCCAAGATGTCATCTTTTTCCGCAATTGTTAGCGAAGTTTTTGTGATCTCCTCTGCTTTATCTCGACATACGCTCGTTATATCTTTAGCAAATGGTCCAAAAAATGGTCCTTGCATCGGAATTTCGGAGATATAAGACCCCATTGACATCTTTGATGTCGCTGCTTCCTGCTGCTCTATTGCCTTTTCCACTGGGAAAGTCTTTTGATTTTCGCTCTTAACTACGTTGATGCTGATATGCGGTATATCCTGCTCATCTATTTCTACTTCTTCGGGCTCTTCGATCACCTCTTCAATAGTGGTCTCTTTACCATCTACGATGGTAACTTTTCGGATGATTTTACGCGTTCGCTTGATCACCCGTCTTGTGACTTGTTGCACCACAGCATGAACGTTTGATGTCCTCGTTTGATACTCACCGCCCTCCATCAGTATCTTCTCCTCGACAGGCTGACAGCTGATATCTCCTATCTGACCTTGCGTCACCATGCGCGTGTAACGGGGTTCGGATTCGTACTCCTCCACATTGATACCTTCGACGGGCGCGCTTGTAGTAACTTTGCCGCCGTAAATCTGCCTTGTCGTAGTCTCGATGGTACCATCTGGTCTTGTCCTGGTCATGGTAACTTGTTGATCTTTCAACGCAGCCTCTGAGAAAGTTTGCATCATCGTCGGCGTATCTCCGACCGCTGTCGACAGCGTGGACACGCGCTGTTGTGTGGTTTGCCTGCTGGTGACTGTAGTACGTCGTAACTTTCTTACGATTATTCTCTTGGTGCCATCAGCGTCGACGACTACCTCGGTAGTGATGTCGTCTGGTTCGACCAGAATTGTCTCAAAGGATTGTGGCGCAGCGTGGACAATGTTTAGCTCGCTGGTTGCGCTATCGGTCTTTTTCGCGTCTTGATACTTCATATCGACAACGATGTCTTCGCTGGACAGAATACTGGATTGTTCCCGACGCGCTATTTCTTGATTAGAACTAGACGGCACGTATTTGGTCGCTATTTCGATTACATCATGATCGCCCGTTGTAGTTTTTAAAACCTTTATAGCTTCCTGCGTTTGAGCACTCTCGCTCGGCAATAAATCTTGTGATGTCTGCGTGGTGAGAGAATGGCACGTGGTTGACGACGGCATCTGCGTTGTAGACGTCTGTTTCGTGAGTTGTGTTTTTCTTTCGACAACGTCGTCGATTAATAAACTTTGACCTGTCTGTAAAGAAACGTCAGCTAAAGATGGCGGACCTCCTTCTATGGAGGAATGAATTGAGGGTGCTTCATCCAAAGTAGCATTATCTCTCTCTGTCGATTCGTCGTCAGCTTGAGCTTCCTCTTCACAGATCTCCTACGAGGATAATAATTTTGTTGAAATAATACACTAACATATACTTGTGGCATTATAGTTTAGATATTTATTACAAAGGTATTTGTATTTATTTTTGTATATGTTTCGAATTAATGAATACGTTCTTATATTTAAAATTATTGTTAATTATTTTAATTGTGAAAAATAAATGAAATATTAAGTTTATTTTTTCTTTTTAATTAGTATGTAACAATGGATAAATAATCGTTTATCTAACAAAAATTATTTCTGATAATACTTCTATCTAGTTTTTGTTATAAGAAACTATTTGCAACATGTTATAGCTTGTGATAATTAAATTATATATAACTATATATAAACTGTAACGTAAAAAAATTCAGTTATTTTTTATAATAAAGTTAATTATCACTAAGTATTGACACATTGCAATTGGATGATTTATATTTTTAATAAAAATAATATGAATAATATATGCACACATTTTAAAACAGTTTAGTTTAACGGTTTTATCTACCAGTATGTCGTATATATACATACTTAGAAATTATTATTTACGCGATATTATTTACGTTATTTATGTCAGACTAAATATGATACATAACTATCATATTTGACGCACAATAAAAGGAAGAGGGACAGGTATTAATGAGAATTTTCTTTAATTACATGAAATATTACAGCAATGTATTAACATTCCTTGATTACATGCAATGCCTATATTACATCCATCACCTTAAGATAAACGAAAATACATAATAATCACATGATACACAAATAATGTACAATGAACTAATAAGTAACGTACGGTGCATGATATCTATAGTGAAACGATGTGCATGATGGGAAGCGCATGTGTTTGTAGCAACGGTGAAGATAAAAAAAATATTCTCAAAATAATGTTTTGTACAATTAAACGATTTATATTCGTATAAGCATGCAAAAGTAAAATTGTTTTATTAAACTTGACTAGAATGTCTATTGCCGACAGTTGCGTTATTTATTGTCGCTTATTACAAAGCGTTCATTATCATCTAATTGACGTATATTACACGTTGTTTCCAGAATGACTATCCAAATTCAAAGGCACTATTTCAGACTCTTAGAGACTCAAGAGACTAAACAGTTTTGATGCAGATTCACGATATTTACGTGAAACATTAAATTTTACATATGATTATCAATTAATTTTATCCGTTACTCATAATTTTTTATCCGCTTTACAAAGCTTATCAGCTTTGTAATAATCGCAAGTTGCAAGCCTTTTATTTTCTATTCCCAGTACAGCGAAGCTTTGGCAAGTTCCAAAAATTAAAGATTTATTTTTTTCGAATTCTTTGTAATATCGTTTTAAGCAACCGAGCCACCATGAAGAGTAGTGATATTTGCGAAAGCCCCCGAAGCGTTGGATACCTGCTGCTTTCGTTGGAGACGGTCAATTACGTCCAAGAGGGCTTCCTTCAACGCTATCGCTAGCGCACTCACTTCTGGCAACGATTCGAGTTCTGAGACTTGATGTGCGCGACTCATTAATTCTTCCAGTAAAGCCTGCCCATTGTAACAAGTAAAAAAATCGGTATTATTTTGCGTGCAATGAATAACGTATTACACAATTATTTAATCAAATTAACTCTCGACCACATTAAGCTGATATTTATATATATATCTAATATAAAACTGATTTATGATTAGAAATAACGATTAACATTTGACTTTTTTAAGTAAAAGAATACGTATCCAATTTAATTGTTTTTCAAAGTTTTTAAAATTGTTGAATATAAAATATAAAAGTCCAAAATAGCAGATCTAATATAGCGAACGCAAAAAGTAAAATATCTTCAAATAATCTTCTATTAAAAATTTATATTGAAACAGACCTTGCTGGTATTAACTGAATGTTGCTCATGTAATTTTGATACGACATTTCTTAACCAAGTATCTGTCTCTTCGAGGAATAATTTATAAGTATGAATCTCTTGGCCACGTTTCTCTCGACTTTCTCGTGCTTGTTCCAGAGCTGTTCTCCCTTGTTCTGCTTGATCGAGAAGGGAAGTGATACGTGTATGAATTCCCGTCAAAGCTACCGAGAGTTTTTGAGATTCAATATCGGCAGGAATTTCTTGTAATCGCTTTTGAAGTTGCGTAGCATCCTCATCGTTGGCGCGAAGCTCTATTAATATAATCTAAAGAAGATAGAGAAAATTCTTTGAATCGTCTTTTTCGATATACTTTTACTGTATAAGAAAATTAATCTACTCGGATGATAACACGAATTTAATAAAAATTTTTTAATTTTCTTATTTTTTAACTTGCTTTAATTTTATTAAATTTTTAATGATTATATATATAGGTATACAATTTTTTCTCATTTAACATTCTTACCATAAGAGATGAAAGCATAGATTCTATACTATCTCGAGGCAAATAGCTCATCGTTCCTTCGAGATTCAAAAGTCTTGCTTGTAAAGAAGCGAGGCCTTCTTCGACATCCTAAAACATAAACGATCATTAGCAATTTTATCGTTGATTACGAGATTTATTACTACTTCAATCATGCCGTGCACATGACGGAATTCAATGAATTTTCACGCTGAATGTTAATCCTATTAACTGAAAACTCTTAAAACCTGTAAAAAAAGATGTTATCTGATATTGTATAAAATGACGTACTGCAAAATACAATAAAAGCACATTGATGAAAACAACTCCTTGAAGTCTGTTATGAAAGATGTTTAAACACTCGTTGCTATATATAAAGAGATAAATCCTCATCATGCAAATTGTCAGTACATTTCGGGATATCTCGTTAAAGTCCGAATGCAAAGACCTGTCACGTAAAGTTGCCAGCAACCAAAAGTAAAAAAAAAAACAGGAACACTGCGTATTAATTTATATTTTCTATGAGCTATTGATTTTCAATTATTCTGCATGAATTATTTCGTTGATATTTGATATTATCGCTCGTTTATCAATATATTACAAATTATGTAGCTATATATATGTATGTATATTGATATTTTAGTAAGCGTAATATATATTCTATTTAAGTAACAATACATATATACACAAAAAGCATATTTAGAAGCGGAATAAACATGCAAGTACTACAAACTATATTTTAAAAGAAAGATCATATTATCGCTATTTCATGCAAATGATATATTATACTAATTAATTTCATTTTGTTAAATGTATTTGTAAAAAATTAAATTATTTTGTGAGATTAGGACAAGTTTATAACAATAATAATAATAATAATAATAATAATTCGATAATAGCGAGTAGGGAGAGCAGCAACAACGATATATTTATGTATGTATGGGCTGTAATTGACGACACAAGAAAATCACACACATTGGATTCAGTATCGAACAAGAAAAAGAAAACGTAGTCGTTTTACAAAATGAGAGACAGAGAGAGCGAAAAACCAGTGGTAGACAATCCAGATAACTAAATACAACACGTATATATACATATAGATGTATATATACATATAGCAGCGGACTTGGTTCATATTTGACTAGAACAAGACCGAGCACGGCTGTGACGGTGATCGCACCTGGATCCTGCGTATCCTTTCAGCCTCGCCTTTAGCCGTCTCTCTCTCCACCTCCCCGTTCAGGCTGCACCGTTGCACAGATCTCTCCCTCGTCTCTTTACCTAAATGCAGTTTGGATTGTGGAAGGTGGACAAAGGTCGATGATTTGGTGCAAGTGCTAGGATGATTGGAACTTTGGAAACTGTTCGAAGAAGAGACAGGATATTCCCTCAGTGTTATTTCGGCGTTTGCAAGAGACTCCATGCACGATTCAGTCTGTGGATCCTGGGAGGGAGGGGATGATGACTGGACTTCATCTGGCAACGAGTTATCCAAAGATAAACTCGAATGTAATGTTGGATCCTCGATTGTGCCGAGTGGTAGATTATGATCTATTGTCCGCTCGCTCTCGCTCGATAGATAAGTGCTATAGTCGCTCCAGCTACATATGCCACCGGGTAAATCGGCTATCATACGCTCTGTCTGAGGTATACCCAGAAGGGAACATGAGTTCCCACAAGAATCCCACGACCTACTACCACCGCTACCACCACCCGAATTGTCGTCGTCGTCGTGGTCTTGGGAACGATCGTCGGAATCACGTTTACTATCGTGTGAGAGACTTTTTTTTGTATGTAAGGCTAAGTTCTCGAAATGATCACGCTCGGCTTCGTGATAGGGTCGTTTGTCAGGCCAAAAACCATCATCAATAGACAGGAACCATAAATTACACGAATCAGTTGTAAATTGTTCCTGTAGGAAGGATGTCGATGGAACGTGCTTTCGTCGATCGGGATTCAGAACTAAGATCTCATCCGCTATGTAGAACTGGACTTTAGATTTGGATGGCTCAATTAAAATATCAGAATTTTCTTGTTCGGTACTTGCAATGCACTTTAATTTATCCTCTTCGAATTTATCATCTTCGAAGGATTGTTGCACAGTTGAAGATAATTTATCTGACGGTAAAGAATGTTTTATAGCTGTATTTATCGAGTCACACGGTAACTCCGTTTGCATGCAAACATGATTAATTGGAGTTTCCGTTTCGGTTTCATCAACAGAGTCGTTTGTTTTATCTGATATCAATACTGATTCTATTTTGGTAATATCGTTGTTAATTGTATCATGCAGTTTCAAAATATCATCAAATTTAGATTCTTCTGTTTGAGGCAAGTCAATTTCAGTTTTTTCTGTCAAAATGTTATCAGCGGGTACTTCTTCGGCTTCAGGAACATTTTCATTTAATGCTTTAATATCTTCTTGCTTAATTGTTTCCGTGGCAATAGAGAAATGGTCTTTGTCAGTTACATTCTTTGGAGATTGTAAAATTTCAGTTAATTCATCGTTTAATATTTGATCTTTGACATTTTCTTCCTTAGTTTGCGTAATGTCGTATACTTCTGTGTCTTTAGATAAATTTACTTCAGTGTTTTCTGCAATGGATAGAGTTTCGATTTCTTTAGGCTCAGTTGTAAATGTAGTTGTAAAATTTTGAGATTTAATTTTATCATCTTGTTGTCGTTTTTCTTTTTTTGATTTGGATTTGCTTTTAGCTTTTTGTTTGTCTTTTAGCAAAGTTATATGTGGAAGTGAGGTTTCATTTTCGTTTACAGTTTCGAATTTCTCTAAAGGCTTCACAATTTCTTCTCTTTGTACAGATTGTATTTCAATTATCGACTCATCATCTATTTTATCTTTCGATGGTTCGATTTCTGTTATTTTAATGTTTTCAACAGTACTTATATTTTCAGATGAATCAGTAAATTTGCTCTGGGCAATTTTTACTTTTTTCTTTTGTTTACGTTTTTCTGCTTTTGAAAATTTATGAATTTCTTTTTCTTCCTTTATATTTTTTTCTATTTTTTCTAAATGAGATTCTTTACATGTCTCTGCATTTTTCGATTCGTCAACTATCATTTTCTGTTCAACACTTTCTTTTTCTGTAGTTTCCTTTTCTGTAGAAATCATAACTTGTTTAATATTTTCTTGTTTCTTAATTTTTTCTGCTGGAATTTCTTCATTTTCTAAGTACGTAAATATATTACATGTTATGTCTGTAGTAACTTCTTCAAGTTTTACTTCATCTAATTTTGGTTCTACTGGCAATTCTGTTTTCTTTTCTAAATCTCCAGCTATAACTGTCTTTTTAACTATATCAAAAGTACTTTCACTCAGTTGCTCAGTTACAAATTTTCCTTTTTTATTTTTCTTCTTTTTAGATTTCGCAGTATTGTCTTGATTTATAATCGGAAGTGCTGTTATATCCTTACATTTATTCTCTTGCGCATGCTCTGTATCTTTAATTAACTCTGTTTCTTTTATTGATTGATCTTCAATATTTTCTGATTGGATCTTATTATGTTCTGTTTTGTTGTCATTTGCAGATTTTTTATCTTCTTTTGGTTTTTCGATATGTTTTAATTCTTTGTGTTCCTTAATTTCAGATTGCTGTTTCATATAATTTTTACCAGCTTTATTCTTCGACTTAGTCTTTTTACCTTTAAGTGTTGCGCTTGATTCGGATTTTGTTTCTTGAATAATTTTATTCTCAACATGACTTTTATTTTCTGCAAACTGCATTTTGTTTTCATTGGAATCATTTTTCTGATTGTCTTTATCTCTGCTTTTAGATGATTTGGCATTTTCTTCTTTAATAATCTTTGTCAATTCGTCGCTCTCATCAACTGTCCTCTGTTCATTTTCAGTTTTCTGCACAGATTGCTTAATCTTATTTTCAATCTCTTCTTTAGCTTTAATATCTTCACTATTTTCAAATTTTATATCTAGTGTTTTTATTTCTTTGTTTGCGTATCTGTTATCTTGCCTAGCATTTCGTGAACGCGATCTAGAACGTCTAGAGCGTAACTCCTTCCGATTAACAAATTCTATAAAACCTTGTTCGTCCACCTGAACTAAATTCTCTATAGGTTCTTGTTTAGGAGCCTTCTCCACACAAATCTGGACCTGCATCGGAGGTTCTATATTTTGTTCTGGTTTAGGAAGACTTGGTTCGAGATTAATAATATCATTAACTTCATTCGATTCTACGGATTTTTTACCAACTATTGCAGCCCATGTATTTTCTGGTTTTACATATATTTCATTATCTTTCGTATTGATTGGGTTAACAGAGACAGCCATTGTTTCTTTTTCCACTTCTTCTACCCAAGGAATTGATTCTTCTTGGGAAGTGAGGTTTGTAATAACTGTTTGATAATCAGAAGATTGTACTACTATTTCATCTTGTTTGTTATCCTGTTCTAATGGATTTTGTAATTTTTCTGTAATAAAATCTTCGTGCATTTCATTTGAAATGGCTGTTTTTACATTGATCGCTGAATGATCCGTCTTTAATGGAATAGGTTTAACTGAGTACGTTTCTTCTTGAGAAATCTGAGGAGAAGTTCTTCGGGAGGAGGCTGTAACTTGCGCGTAAGATTTATTACTTTCTTTAAACTGTTTCAACGGTTCTGTGGATTTTTCCTCGATCGGTTTGATTTCATCCACCACTGTTGCCTTTAATTCTTCGATGACATTTTTGCTTGTTTGATTTTCTAATGAAGGTAAGTGCGTTGTGAGTGTTTCTTCTTTTGATGGAATTTTGCATGAATCATACTCAGTCGGCGCTTGTGGTTGTTCTATGACATTTGTGACATTATCATTTGTATCTTGAGTAATAGCGGACGTTTGAGTGTTTAAAAAGTCATCTTTTGAAGCAACAGTTGTTTCTGTTATACCTCTTGTACCAACAATGGCTGCCCACGATTTAGCATTCGGATTTAATCGACTGTCATATTTAGGCATGTGACCCTTTGAATCTTGTTGGTTTTCCACAAATGATGGTTCTTCAAATACATCCGATTCTGTCGCTTTAGAGAGAACAATATTGTCATCTTTATTTAAGTTACCCTCACATTTCACCAATGCTGATTTCTCTTTAAGGATAACTTCAGATTTCTGGTTTTGTTTTTTGGATTTTTTGGATTTCGACTTACGTTCTTCACGTTTCTCACATTCTTCTTTATCTTTGTGCGATTCAATCTGTTGTTTGTCTACTATCAAAGATTGCTCTGCTTCTTTTGTTTCACAATCACTTTTATTTTCCAATTTACGTTCTTCTAAATTACTTTGTAACGATAAATCGTCTTTACTGACGTCTGTTTTAATGTCGTCACTCTGCTTGTTTGTAGTTTTAGTCTTCGTTTGATCTTTAGTTTTTGTAATTTTAACATGTTTTGATTCTTTCTTTTTCCTCGGTTGATTTTTTGTTTTATCGCTTTGCTTTTCGTCCATAGCCGTTTTATTTTGAATATCTTTTATGCTAGTATGATATTCATCTTTTACAGCAATTTCTGTTGGAGATGTATTATTTAAAATTTCAGTTTTTTGTTCTTTGATCTCAATGTCTTCTTCATGTTTCTCAATTGCATTTTTCTCTTTAATTTCTTCTGGTTTTTCAATTATTGCTTCTTTTTCAATTTTTTCTTGTTGCTCTTCAATAATTAATTCTTTCTGCTCAACCTCGTCTTCTTGTTTTTCAATTATTGATTTTTTCTTTTTTATTTCTTTTTCCTCGATTTGTTGTTTAGTTTTTGCTTCTTTTATTTCAACGTCTTCTTCCCTTTTTTTAATTTGGCTATCTTTTATTGTTTCTGTTTCCAACTCATCAAAATCATCATCAATTATTATTTCTTCCTCAAGAAGAGCCATCCAAGTATCATCAGATTCTAGATGTACAGACGATATCTTTGCTGGTGTTTCTTTAATTTCTTGATTAGTTTCAATATTATTTTTTATATCAGTTTTGTTTTCTTGAATATTTGTATTTATTATTGTTCCAGCATCTGTCAACTGATTACTGATTTTTTCGGTGGATAGTTCAACGGAGACATTTAATTCAGAATCTGATTGTGGTATTGAATCATTAGTAATACTAATTAAATCTTTTACATTATTATTAAATTGCGTATTATTAGCAGATGTGCTAACTAAAATTATAGTTGGTTCCCGAATTTCTTCAATTGATTCTATGCACGATGGAATTTCTACTTCAGAAATATTTTCGGATAATTGTTTTTCTCGTATCTGTATTTCATTTGTTCGATCTTGGCTTTCAACATCTATCAATTTTGTATCTACCGTTTTATTAATTGTATTTTCTTCTGAATTAAATGTATCATCAAAATCGTCCTCAATCATCATTGGCTCATCCAAAATACTCATCCAAGAATCATCTGAAACTAAATGTACAGATTGCTGTAAATCTTTCGATTTTTTATCTTTATCTTCACTATCATTTGTTTCGATTGCTTTAAGTTTCTCTACAATCGCAATTGTATCCTTTGTAGAGTCAGATACTACATTTACAGCTTCCTTTTCGTCAACAGTTTGTTTCTCTCTTCCTATTGCAGTTTTTACAGATACTTCAGAATCATCAGAAGAAATAGATACAGATTTTTCAGGCATCAATTTCATTTTAATCCATTGCGACTCAAATTCGTAAAAACTGGTAATCGGATATTTTGGCGCTTCTATGATGAAAGCATGTCTTCTGTAATTGCTTTCATTCATTTCTTGGTTCGATGATTTAACATCGATCGGTTTCATCACCGAGTCTTGTACGATTCTTTCTATGCTTTCTGGTCTTGTATGAACTGCAACAACAGGTTGTACTTTTTTTACTGTTTTGACAACTTTAAAATAACGGTAAAAATTACTTTCTGCATGATTGTAAGCATGGCGATCCATTGCATAAGGTTTAATAAGATCCAATAAATGTTCAGGAACTATTTTCTTCTTTATTTTAGAACTTTCAGGTATTTCTTTATTTTTTATTTTTCTGGTTGTGTGTTCACATTCCATCGCAAATTCTGTTTTTCCATCTACCTCTTCCTGAATATTGTTAGCTATTGTATTAGCAACATCGACCTCATTTTCATTTATACATTTATCTTTTTCAATTAAAATATTTGAATCAGCTTGACTAGTTTCATCATTTAATATAATATGATTATTTTTAACTGAATTATCAATATTTTGGCCTTCTATAATATTGTCATTTTGTAAAATAGTATCAACAGCAATAATTCCTGATGTCGTTGTTATAACAGTATTCTCCTTTTTATTATCATTCTCTAGTTTTTCTTCAGGAACTTCTACCTTTAATTGATTTCCCAATTTTTTCATATCATTTAATTGAGCAATAACTTCTCCTTCCTTCTCTTCGAATGGAGTCATTGGCGGGGACTTCTTTGACATATCGCGACTTTCTGAAGTGCTCGAACAAACCCTTCTCCTATCTCGCACGCTACTGAATAGGGCCATTTCGTCGGATATCACAATGTTCTCGGTGGAAATCGCGGAAGTTAAACCTACTTTTTGAGAAATCGCTGCCTGATCCGATTGCATACTAACGAGAGAATCATTTGATACCCTAGCGTAAGTAGTAGTAAGACTAGCCTCTACAGTTTCAGGACGCAAAGTGATTAACTCGGTAACTTTGGAACCTACAATTTTGGGAAGGGGTATGTTTTCTATTATTTCTACCGATTTAACGGACTTGACATCGGGTGGCTTGACTTTTACCGATCCTGGAACGCTGGTGGTAGTCGTTACGGTAGTAATCATTTTCTCTATAATCAAAGCCTTCCCCGTCGAAAATGGTTGTTCGGATTCTAAATTATTATGTGTCTCATCTGTGTATTTTTCATATACTTGAGCTTTGTTGATCGAATCACTTGAAACATTAGAATCAAATTCAGTTTCAGCTTCATTCTTTTTCGGCGATTCTTTCGTCTTTTCGTTATCAACATTATCAATTTTCGCAAGAGATAGATTTGTAAGCTTTGGGGTTTCTCCTTTCTTCGTTGAATCATCCTTGAAAACAATTTCCTCTTGGAACTTATCGTAAAAAGACTGTTTCATTTGTTCAGCTGTATGTGTAGGAGATAGGCGTTCTTTTTTCTTCATACGTTTCGACATCTTTTCCTTGGATGCGTCTTTCGATTTTTTAATATCCTGCTCTTTTAGTAGGGAATTCTTGTCATTTATATCGGTCTTAACGTCTTCGTTTTCAATAATTGTTTCTTTATGGTGATTAAGTTTCCCATTTTTAATATTCTGATATTTTTTTTCCATGTCCGAAACGGTATTACTTATTTCTGAAGAAACTTCAGATTCTTTAGGGAGTGTTTCTGTAGAAATAATTTCGACATTCTTATGTACTGTAGAAATAGGCAAATCCGTCTCAGGTAATGTTGTAGGTTTTTCAGTTGATTTATTAACTTGGCCGAGTACTCTATCTTCTCTTTCGTCTATTTTAACGCCGTAGTTATTTTCAGTGTCTGTTTTTGATTGAATAATACAGCTGTTATTAAGTACTGATACATGTTGTTCAGTCAAATTCGTTTTTTCCGAAAATTGCTCTTGGATGACAGTTTCTTTCGAAGGTGGAATTAAAAATTCGATATTAAGTTCATCTTTCTTTTTATCAGTTTTATTTTCGCTATGCTGTGGTATTTCAATACGATTTTCTTTTCTTTTATCTTGAAAATTAGATTTTGCTTTTTCGGATTTTTTCTGTTTCGTTGTTTTTATCTGACATTTCTCTACTTCTGGTTTTTTAATTTTTTCAATTATTTTTGTATTATTATTAATTGCTTCTTTATCATCTATTGTACTGATCTCTAAATTTTCTGTTGTGAAGCTTTCAATTTCTAATTTAGCATTTGTTTGATGCTCTGTTTCTTTGCTTTCTTTAACTTCAGCTGAATCATATGTTTTATCAGTTTTATCAATTTGTACAATTTCTTGTGCTATTTGTTGAACTGTTTTAGGCAATAAGATTTCTTTTGAAGTTTTCTCAACTACTGTTGCTTCTGCAATTTTAGCTTCGATCATTTGTTCTGATTTTGGAACAACGTCATATTTTTCTGTACCATTTAAATTCATTTTAATTTCATCCAAAACTTTGCTTGTTGAAATTACAGATGACGGATCAATTATGGCCTCAGATTTTATTTTATTTTTAGAGGCCTTGTCTTTCTTTCGAGGATTGGTTTTACTTTTTTTGCTTTCGTTTACATCGCTAGCGATTTTTGTAATATTAAGCGGCTTTGATTCGGAATCTTTTGTTTCAATATCAATTAGTGGTTTAATTGATTTCAAAGATTTGTCTTCAATTATTTCTTTAGTACTGATTTCAAGCTTTTCTTGATTTATGTTACTATCTTCAGCTTCCAACTTCAGCTCTTTTGACTTTGTCTTATTCTTTTCTTTTTTTGAAGCATCTTTATGTTTTTTTGTATTTTCAATCTTTGTAGACATATTTGTCTTTTCATTTGTACCTTCCAACTCGATTTTTTGAGTAACTAATAATTTTACGTCTTTTGTTACATTATTTTCATCGACTATATTTATTTTATCCTTTTTATTATTACTTAGAACATCCGATTGATATTGCATTTTATTTTCTGAAGACTCTTCGTTTTGTTCTTTGGTTTTTGTATCTTTATCAATTTTGTTCTTACATTTCGTTACATTGTCGGGTTTGTTAGAATTAATGTGGCTATTGTTGTCGATTTGCAATTGATCTTTCGACATTTCTTTGATAATATCTTTTTGGACTTCCTCTTCATTTTTGGAATCTGAAACTTTTGCATCCTTCGTATCTTTTTTATCTTCCACGTTATCTTTTAAAATATTTTTATCGCTTGCTTTGATTTTACTTGACAATATAGCGTGTTCCATAGATATAGTTTCTTTTATTCTTGTTGCTTCCTTAGATTTTCTTGATTTTCTGGACTTTTCACCAGATTTGTTTTGTTTCTTATCAACTTCGTCGTTATGTTTTTCTATCGTCTCATTAACGGAATCTTGAGGTTTGATTTCTTTATTCTGCTCTTTAAGCTTGTCTTTCTGAGATCTTATTTTTTGTTTATCCATATCCTCAATCTCTTTAAGAGCTTTGTCAATTTCATCTCCTACTGACTTATCTATTTTCTTTTTCTTTTGTCTTCGTTTCTTTTCTTGCGATGGATTTGTGTCTAAATCAACTGCTGGCTGTTCTTGCTGCACTAGTTTTTCCTCTTTTTGCATTGGGCTATCGCTGATTTTATCAAGAAAAGATTCATCTTGCGTTTCCAATTGCTTCGGCGGAGTTAATTTTTCGTTCTTTTGTTTCTCCTTTGGTTTATCGATAGGCTTTCGAGATTTTTTCTCATCCGTCTGTTTAATTTTGTCGTTCGAGTGCTGTTGCCTCTTCCTGACCTCTCGTTTCTTCATCGTGTCCCAATCGTTTTCTTTGGATTGTTTAGATTGCTCAGACGTAACCGCGAATGATTGCGACTCTTGCTTGAATTTCGGTTCCTGCAATGGTGACAATTCGCGAGATGGTAACTCGAGTGACTCTTTTGGCGAATCAGAACGTTCCTTACTTTGATAATTTGCGGCTGCTGATTCGCTAACGATGCGTGTCGAAGTAACACGTGGACTGAGTCCGTGCGAAAGTATTTGTGCGTATGAAAAGGTTTGCCCTTTGGTTTCCATATTATTCAATGATGACGCATTCCTTCCTTCTGTTTTATTCGTTGTGGAAGTTTCTACATTTGAGATATTTACAGATTTTTGCTGTTCAGGCTTATCGATAAGTTCAGTCGCACTCACGTCTTTAGGAACTTCAGATTGTCTAATTATTGACACCTCAACAGGCTTCTCCATCACTATCGCAGTTGTATGTCTCATATCATCAACGGGTTGCTGCATCGGAGTCTGCTGATAAATATCCGATGCCGAAAGATATGCGGTTTGCGCAACGTAATGTTCTGGCGCGTAAGCTAAAGAACTGTTATCATAAGGATTCAAGCTTATTTGATCGAGTTGCTGTACTTGCTGATGATGACCGGACGGCGCGTAAACGTACGAACTTACTGGATACGTTCCGAGATGAGACCCGATAAAACCTACCAATTCCGGCATCGTCTCCGGTATCATATAATCGTAGATCTCCGTCGGTTGCTGTTGTCTTGGCACGTTCTCATAAGATTTCACATGTTGCAGTACATTGTAATCTTGCAAGGACTCATCGGTCCAATTAGTCGGTTCAGATTCGGTGTAATTTTGATCCTCTGCTTTCTCTGTGGAAATTTCAGGTTGACAGTAAGTCTCTGCGATTTGCATGTTTTCCGCCTGTATTTCTTGCGTCGGTACAATTTGCTGGACTGTAACTTCAACAATTTGCTGGTCTGTAACTTGTTGAGACTTTTTAACGTTTGCGATATCTTGTTCCGTGATTTCTTCCACGCGAGGAACTTCCATTCGATTCCGTCGAGATTCTTCGGATAAAGAAACCATTTTTTGTCTAGGTGGTTGCGCCGGAGCAGTGTTAATCTGCATTGTCTGTATACATCCACGAAGAATGTCAGCATAGGAAGTAGAACCGGGAACCCACATGGGACTGGGCGAACGACCTCTTCGTTCTTCATACGGTGCTAGAGAGTTCTTCACGGGCTCCGTTTGCGTTTCTTGCCTGGAATTCGCGCCAGGTCCAAGATTATCACGTCTGTCGATTTCTCCTTCTTGATCCGCTATTATTTTGGGGTCTTTCACTTTGGATGAGTTTATTTTGCGTGTAGGCGATCGTCCTCGACGTGGCATGGATGATTCGACTTCGGGTACAGCTTGATGACATTCTTCCACATCGATTGTGCTTCGATCATCTGTTGTTGGCACGTGTGTCTCGGTTTGTAATTGCGATTTTGATTTATTTATGTTCGTGTCATTTTTAGGAATTTGCATCTTTGAGATTTGTGCCTCGTCCAACGAAAGAGAATGTTCCATAGTCAATTTTTGAGCTTGCATAACCACAGGTCGTAATACTTGTGCGGTCATGGTAGGAGGAGTGACTTCTCGTTGGTGTCTATATGGGCTACAATTTCTCGAGCTTGGACTATTGGTACGTCCTGCTGCAATATCGGCATACGAGGCTTGGCCTATGAACCGGTAGTCGTTGGTGGGTACGTAGTATGGATCCACCTCGTGTATCTGATCCACCAGTGTCTTGCTGCGTTGCTTCCAATCCTCCACCCGTTGTTGCAGGCTCTGCTTTATCCACCGCGGAAGGTCAGCCAAGGCACAGCAATGGAATACACATACTATGTCAATTTTGAGGAGTTTCTTTACATTCATCGTGGGATGGGGGGAGGCGATATTATTTTTAAAGCCAAGGTTTTTATTTGAGCAAATCGCATTAGAGTATATCGAAAACCTCTCTGTGTGTACATAAGTAAAATGAGTGGATTTCGTGAATGAATGTACTTGAACATCGATTGACAGTAAACGAATTTTTTATTTTCCTTATTCAATCACATCGTATGGCTATTTAAGCACAGATATTTAGGTCAAGAGACGCGCGCTCATATATGGTAATATAATCACATCTATAATCTCGTAGAGTGATATCTATTAGAAAATCAATGTTCGATAAAAATTTACTTAGAAAAATTACGTGGTACTAAACTAAGTCGTTTGATCTTATCGAAAAACGTTGACGATGAAGGTGAGACAGTGGATTTCATTTTATATTTATTCTATCTCGCCTTTATCGTTAATGTTTCCTTCAATCAGGTTTTGCATGTGTAATTTGACACGAGGCGGCTATCATCGTCGTTATTCATTGACAATAGCGAATAAGAATTATAGAACCGAAAACAGATGAGAAAAATAACTTATTCATGAAGTGAATAACGACGACGAAAGCCGGATTTGTTCAACGGGGGTAGGTCTCTATTGTCATGGGTCCAAGGGCTCTAAGTCTGGTGTGCCTCGTTGTACGAGTAGTTTAGATCTCTCGGTGCGCGCCTGGATTTTACTTTGCAAGGATTTGATTTTCTCGCGATAAATCTAACCGCATACAGAATCACAAATCGAGAGCGTTAACACGTCGAACGAGCGAGAGGAACGGAATGAGAATAGTGAGGTTTTAATAATGAAGCAGACATTAAGTAAGAAGGAAGAGCGCAGAATACGAAAAAGTCATGATGAATAACGAACGAAATGGTAACGATTTCCGTAATAACGTCGATGTAAATGATGATGATTAAGAGGAAGATAATCGTCGAAATACGATAACGATGGAAATAGCGAGGATAGTGACAGATAAAGAAGCACAGGTAATCGTTGGAAATGAGGTATAAAGGAATAAAAGGGATACATCAAAGAAAAATTCATAAATGAAACAACTGGTAAAGAAATGAATGCGATAAAATAAGAAAAAAATAGATATAATAAATAAACGAAAATTAATGCATAAGAAAATAATTGTAGCATTTCATTTGTGTGTCTCGCATGGTCTCGACACGCATGGTCTTGACATCGGAGGTCACTTGATTTTCCTATGGCTTTTACAGCTATATGATTGTTTGTCTGAATTACGAAAGTCTAACATAAAGATCCAAAGATCACGTAAGGGATGCGTACGTGTGAACGGTGCATGACACGCTTTACGTGAATGTGCGGCAGTACTTCGCGTTTTGCTACGTGGTCTTTCATTCTAGAACGTAAGGCATATGTGCGTGATTGCTTATTACGTAACATACACGCGCGCACACATGAATAGAGATATAAATGTAAAGAGAAAGATACGCATGTATTGTAATACACATATACGTGTGAGAGTATATATACGAAGATGTAGCGATATACACGCGTGACAAGTGAAACAGTTAAACGATAAAAAACCAGAAAAAGAAACACAAAAAACAAGCAAAATCAAGTAATCCCCTTCAGAAATGATAGTACAAAAGTTTTGCAAGATTAAATGATCTTAAGAACTAGGATTCGAGGAGGAGAATATACGTGTGTACCTTGGTGAGAAAAGGAAAACGGATCAACATAGTTAGAACATGATACCAACCAGTACCCTGTAAGCGGTGTACCACCATGATGAACACGAAACCAAAAACTTTCGAGATTCGATTTCGTACAATTCGCAAATATCATTTATCTTACAAACAAGAAAAAGAATAGAATATAAACATTTATTTTAAATTTATTATTGATCCACATTGTGTCTGTTGTAAAAAGTATAAATGGTTTTAGTAAATGTTAGCAGATGATGTAATTATTAAACAATAAAAAAGTTTACAAAATCTTGAGTAAAATTTGAATTTATCTGTTCGATAATTCAATTTAAACCTGAAAATCAACGCGGCGTAAATAACGTGCAATTAAAAAATAGCCGTATTTAATTAACAAATTACGTAAATTCTCGAAAATAATATCGATATTTAATGAACTTTTGACGCATGAAAATACAAAAATAAGATTCGCACGTAAAAGAGAAGGATATAGGATAAAAGATAGGTATATGATATATAAACAGTGCAAGAAACATCTTGAATAGTCGTTTTGACAATTGCAACTACTTTTAAAATAAATATATAATTATATATATAATTTATTAATAATATCTAATTTAAGAAGATGTTTCCATTCGTATTTATACATGTAGTTATTGGCCATTTCTTAATTCTTCATTTCATATAGTAAACAAATTAATTTTATCCGTTAATATTCCAAATTAATGACATTTTTTTAAAAATATATTAAAGAATAATTTTTATTTTGTCTTTTGATATAGCTAAGGGTAAAAATGGCAAATAACTCAAAAGTTAATCCTAGTTATATGTGGTTAATAGTGGCTCCATCGACGGTTAGTTATAAATCATGTGCGTTCTAATTATGCGAGTATTATACTCAAATGAGAAGAGAGATTTATATAATTGCGCCCAAAAACGCAGAAAACTACCCCCGACAATTGCGCGCAAAAATCTACCCCACCTTCAAAGGGGAAAACAAACGCGTTCTTTCTTGGTGGTGGTTTTAGTTGGTATCGAGCAAATGCAAAAATCAATTGCTGCTTCAGCGCGCTTGTGCAGGTAATAAGAAAGTTAAGGAAAGAAGGACTGTGCCTACCTGTTGCTCTTGAAGAGCTTTTTCTCGATCATTCGGCATATACGTCGGGCTGAGTACCGTCCTCAATTGCTGCTCCACCTGCACAATGTGTTGTCTCAACTGTTGAATTTCCTGAAACGAAACAAGATAATCTCGCTCGATATGGAAAAAAAATTGTACTGTATTGCAGTCTGAAGACTGAATGCTATCTTTTCCATTCCGCTAACCTGTTGATACTGATCTATCTGCGCTAAGCAAACTTCTAGAGAAGTTGTCTGTTCTTTAACGGTGCTGTGAAGAGAGTTAAGTTCGGTGATCAGATCATCGGCAGTATCTTTCACCCGATTGTCGCCAACGATACCGGACCTAAAGTGCACCTCGAGCTTTTCCACGGAGATCGTGATCTTTGTTTTTTGAATCGCGATGTCGCTAAGCATTTTCTCACGAATAGCATGTTGATCGCGCAGCGGTTTCTTCTTATTCTGTGGCAACTCCAGCGTCTGCTTGGCTTTCTCCATCCAGCTCCGCACGTCCTTCATCTTCCTCTCGCATTGCTCCCATTCTTCACTGGCCTCTTGCAGTAATGCATTCTGTAATACGAGGATTTTTGACAATTGACTGATATTAATTTAAATTTCGGTCGAAGTGAACTAACCCTTTCCAATAGCTGACCCTCGACCTGAACCTTGCCCTCTTCCGCCTCGGCCAACTTCTCTGGTAGGTCCGCCACGGTAGTTACCTGACCGATATTCTCCAATTCTTTGCCCATGTCACTAAGATTCTTATTCACCTGCTTGCAGCTCTTGACTGCTGTCTATAAAACGAAAAAAGTGTCAGGCGAACGTTGTCGCATATCTTAGAACGTGAAAAGTGACGTTCTTTCACATACCGAATATTCGTGCAATCTCTGTCTGGCTTGCTGAAGAGTGCTCAGCTTCAGTGGTTCGACTAGGAATTGTCTTTTTTCCTCTGTCCATGTCTTGACAGCCTCATAAAGCGCGAGGAATCTCTGCCAGGCATCTAGAGTGTCGCCTACGATTTGTTTCTTCTCTTCCAACCAGCTCTTGATCTGCGCCAGTTGTTCAGTAAGATTATCGATCGTGCTATTGATCAGCTCCTTCTCGGCATCGTCTCTCGTATTCTTGACGATGGTTTGCCCATTCCTCGTCAGTCGTTCGAGCTTATCGCTAATCGTGCCCAGTTCGTTTTGTATCTGTCTAAGGTTTTCCCTGAGGATGGCCGGCTCGATCGATCTGTCCTGTACCTTGAGCTCGGCTTGTCGAATCCATGCTTGCACCTCGTCCACGTCAGTTAGATAATCCGATCTGACGGTCCTAGCACGTTTCTGCTCTCTCTGTTTTTCCTCCATTGTTTGTGTCGTTGCTTCGGCACAAAGCTCGAGTGCGGTCAGATGCTGGGTAATGTCACTTGGTACTAGCTGCTGGCTAGCTTGGTACCGCGCCTTAATGCTTCCTGAGAAGTTCTTGGCGGTGTCGACGAGATCCTCAACCTGTGAGTTCAGCTCTCTTAGTTCGATCTCGGTCGCGTCTTGATCAACGTCGTAAACGTATAAATTCGACGCGCTTTCGCGCGCCTCGTTTAGTCGCTTTCGCAGGCGCTCGATCTCACGTTCGATGTTTTCGAGCGCCTCCAGATCCTCGCTCGCCTTCTCGGACTTCCCACGAAGAGAGTCGACGAGTCTAAAAGGACGATTCGAATGGTGACGATTTGCACGGCGAAAGAGGCTCTCGTAGAGAGTGGCTCTTAACTTTTTATCATACAGACGCTTTGAATTTTATGTAAATACATTTGGTCATTTAAGGGAAGGTTGGCGAGAAAAGCAAGCTTGATTATTTAATTTTGAAACTAAAATACTTGTCTCTGTAATATTAAATTCCTCTTAAACTAAAAATAACAAAAAATTGAATAATATTAATAACACAAAAAATGTAAATAGTATAATGATTAAACTGCTTATATTTAAAAATATGAATAAAATAACAAGATGTAATTATTCTTTTTATTGTCTATATATATATATAATGTGTTACGCACGCATATAGAACACGATTTATTAAGATGTAGTTCCAAATAATAGATATGTTTCCAAAACGAATATGTTATAATATATTAAAGTTCTACGTGAAAAAAATTGAATAATCGGTAGTCTTAAACGATCATTTGTGGTGAGATAAATTTAGAATCGGAAATGCGTGTCGCTGTGCTTCGGCTGGCCCGATCCCAGGCGAAGTCGCGTAGTCAGGGCAGCCTTGGCTAAAAGTAGACGAAGGAAGTATGTACCGACGCGAGTTTGGCCGACTGTTCACACTTGTGGTATACCACGAGGAAAACACTGTTCGAAAAAGGTGTTATATGATTTTACGATTATTTTATTTAGCATCCACACAAAACACAATCGGTGCGTCTCGAAACAAAATGTTTTTATTTTTTTCAGATACTAATTTTTTATCGGATCGAATAAACTAAAAAAAAGAAAAGTATCCGATTTTGTAATAGAATTTTAATAATATACGTACACAATTTTCAATTTTATGTTTATCGAAGAATTTTTTTAATAAATGCAGAAAAGTCTTCTCTCTCTTTAAATAAGAACAGAGTAAATTACATGATTTTTTGCTGCCAGTTGCACAGTCAACATAAATCACAAAGAATAATTTAAACGTTGATGTCATCTGCTAAAAACTCGTATACTGTCATCCTTGTCCTTTCGGAAGGAAAGTACAATTTCGATTTCATCTCAGTACTAAGACGATCTATATTTTCAACGATGACATACTTTCGTTTCTCGGACGGAGAATTACGCAAAATTACAAATTTGAAATTTATTACGACTCGTCCCGTTTCTCTTTATGGTCTACTTGCTAGAGAGAATCTTATTAATTTAGTACAATTAATTTTATCACGTTACAATATGCCATCTTTTAATTCGACATTAAGTATAAATTGGCGATTATGTATTTGCCAATTTTGATACGTTGCTCTCAAAATACGTGACCATGAGGATTCTCGAAGTCAATGTTGACTTTGGTGCACAACATTCTTTTCCTACGATGACATCATTGTGCCGGCCTGAATCCGAAATACGATTGCCGGCCGGCAGATGTAACACGATGAAAAACAAAAAAAAAGGAAAAAAAGACCTGTGATGTAAGATTTACAGATTAGTTATGTAAAACAGACGCTACTTTGATTTTATTTTATAACGTATTTTTTAACGTATTTTTAACGTATCATTGAATGTAAATTTTTTCATACGAGGAATTTAATTGTCCGTATTTGTATAACATTTTCATTTTGTAATTCATTCACGTAATTGCGCGCAATAATGAAAATTGCTCATCTGAAATAAGAAATAAGAGAAATTAGAATGATAAATTTGCGTGTCGCGACAGTCGAATCAAATTCATCGCCAAAATGAGTTTCCTTCTAGAAACTATTAACATTTACACGCAGTGATCTATTTCCAGCGCTATGAGTTTAGGTGCGAAACGATTATCTGTTCTCACGCGATCTCATATAATCTGCGATAGCTCCATCGATCGCACAACTTGCTGGTTGCGATCATATGCTGCGCACGATTCTACTTCGTTAATTGTAGTGCTTAACGGATGCCATAAAAATTTCTCGTTACTAACAGTGTTTGAATCAAATCACTCTCAATCTATCTGTACGAACGATATCGTAATCGAACGATAAATCCGAACAATATGTGTACCTATGTATCCGGTTGGAGTAATCGCGCGATATTCGCGTTTTCGCGATACAGTCAACAGCAGACCGAGCGCGAACTTCTCACTTTCTTCTCTTTTTCTCAATTATTTTTTCTTTAATCCTTGTCCTTGCTCTTGCGTTTATCTGGACAACAATATGGCGCGGCACTATCAAGCCAAACAGCAGCGTTCGCGGTTCGAAACGTTATTGGAGGGATACAGTCGCTTAAACTAGCGTTAGACGCCAGTTGAGACGCATTGGCGAGGCGCCGCGACGCATGCGGCCTGATCTTAGAAATGGTTTGGCTAGCCAAGAACGTCCTAAGAATAATCGGTCAGTGAATATGTAAGGCCGATGGGGAACGGAGAATTAGAAGACTGTACCGAATGATTTTAAATAATGACACGAAAAACACAAATGACCATATCGTGCAACTTGTAGCAGAAATTTTACAACTAATTTTAGTCGGAGCTTTTTACTACAAATTTCTTTGTGCGACTTTATATTTTGTACAATTTGTTGTGCAGTCTTTCTCGACGACTGGATATATCCGGAGATTTGAACCAGTATCTTAGCTGGATGGAATCAATAGATTTATAGGCGTCCATTCGTACCGCACGTGGTTTAATTGGCACCGTGACTATCGCGATGAAATAACACGAGTCGTAATAACAATCGCAAAATGGCATAGCAATTAAAATGGAGATTGCATGAACGTATACTATTGTTTAAAAAGTTACCAGATAAATGCCGTTAAATAATATAAACGATATACAAAATGAATATGAATAAAAATACAATGTTAACTACGCTGGTCAACAAAATTTTTGAAAAAAAAATAGAAAATTTATTATTGGATTGATCGATTGTTAAAAAGAATATACTAATGTTATCTATTATAAGTTCAATTATAAAAATTCCATAGCAATATTCGTATGACAAAGAGATTACGAAATTTAGTAGCGTCTAATTATAAGAATTTTATCAAGAATATTTTATCTTTCCATCATTTCAAATAATTGATATTAATAAAAAATTAATAAACTTTGTTTCAACTTACACGTTCTAATGCGAAAAATTTGCCGGAGTCGCGTGCCGACTATTACAGTGCATCCTATTGCACCATGAATCATAGATACATATGTGATGTCACGTCTTGTTTATATGATACAGTATGTAATATGCAACATTTCATTTTATTTCAGACGACGTCAAATCTATATTTAACGAAGATTTAATTAGCATCGGACGTATCCTGCGATCGGCCAGCGAACTACGTATCGATGACACTACACATTAAGGTATATAGATATAGAGCATTGAAAAATTTTATATGCATCGCGATCTCCTTATTCCTGATGAATAGAGCAACCAAAATATGTATAGGGCATGTTTTTTTTATTTGACTAATAAAGAAATAAACTAAATACAAATTTGTTTCATAAGAAATTATACATTTTGAATATGTACAGCATATTTTTCATATTTCATACATAAGAGTATATTTTTGCATATTTCACACATAAAAACATATTTTTGCACATTTTGCCTATATGTGCACAATATTTACATATTTCATCTTTTTTTATTGTATATTTCACATCGTTTTCTAATTTAAATTTATGATTAGTTTTTTTCTGATATAATAATAAATAGGATTTCAAAGATAAGTTTTTCTCAATCAGAAATATGCTACAACATATTTTATATTTTTGAAAAAGGAAAAATTGATTAAATAAATGATTCCCACACGCCGCGATTTGGTGCGCAGTGATGTCAGAGAAATCACAAGGAGAAAAAGATTTTGCGCTTTTACGTTCAATCTTCTATATTTCTGTGTCATACAATACATCAAAGACTCTCTCTCTCTCTCTCTCCCTCCCTCTCCGTCCCGGTGGTTGCCCTACTGATGAATCTCCGCTATATTTTCCATTATATTTTCGTATTTCGTACATCGTTAATTATAGAAAAAAGAATCTCAATTATAGAGCAGTACTTTATAAAACTTGCATCAAAAAATTGAATTTTGCAGTGAAATGTATTTTCTTTTGAATTTTATCAACGATACGCAAAATATGTAAATATAATACAAATTCCAGTGTTCTTGTCTCCAATTTAAATTTCTTTTGATTGGAATTTATCTCCGATTCTGCGTGCGATACACGTGTGTCGATATCGTACTAGTATAGTTTGTTTCGCTTTGTGCGCATGCGAAATTACGACATTTGCGTCGTACGAGAGATGAGGTTTCGCAAGTTTAAGTAATCGTTTTGATTAAGTCGCGATTGGAGGACGTTATCCAGATATATCCCCATAAAACTAATATGATCGCCTCTTTTTTTGTTGATATTTAACAAGAACAAAAAGGAAAGAAAAAATTTCGTGTGTATCATACCTCGGAAGAATAAACTCATATCTGTTCAAGTGTTAGTATTCACTAGAGTTTTCATTTGTGTGTTACGTTTCGCGTACAAATGATAATTACGCCACTCCCATCATTGACAACACAACACGTGCGGAATCGGATGTAAATACAGTGAGACAGGACGTCATGCCCGATGACAATCCGCCACCTGGCAAAACGTCAAAACGTTGCATGCCGGCGTTATCCGCGAATGTTTAAACACGAGCACTTAAACACGTAATCAGCGTCGATGATGCGTCTGCAGAAAGATGCAACGAAAAGTACAATTTTTAGCATCGTGCGCAACACATCGTCGATGCCGGTACGATGATGACTGAATGAACTGACACTGCATGATGCTACTACGGGCGACAAAAAGTATGGTAGGGGCCATGGACACGTTTCCCCTTGGGAACGCATATCGACCTTCCTCAGCTGTCTTATATCGAGTGTTTATACGGTGTTGTACGGTCCATATTATGTCATATGACAGATTTGGTGATGACGTAGCGCAGTGCGCTAATGAAGCGATGATGAATCGATAAACATCGGCGATCACAGCGAAATGTCAATTGTATATGTCCGCGCGTGACTAACTTTTACAAATATTGAAAAAAATAGCGCAATCGCGACTTATTTAATTTGATTACAAACTTGTGTCAATCTTTTCTTAATAAAAAACGTTGTAGGAAACCAACAGCTCTTAAATTGCCAACATTAAGGAGAATGGAAGATTTTTTTAATTAGATTTTGGTGATATAGGCAGTAAAATCTAATTCATTGTTGAATTTCTTAATCTACAATTAAAAAGTCTAATTAAGAAACACAATTAATAATAGAAATTAAAATGCCTTTAACGGTCGAAGCTAGATCTATAATGCTTTAAATAATTCAATGTGAATTATATATTATATATACTATATATGTACTTGCATATATACCATATTTGTAGTCCTTCAAACTGCGCGCCGAATTGATTTTCCGGACTTATAAACGCAATTAAACTACTGGAA